GACACTTGTGTCCAGTAGATAACAGCGCTTTTAGAAATGTAAGGTCATCTGGGAGCACCTGAAAGCTAGTTTCTACAAATCTGTGAAGCGGTCACTCACCGATAGGTGTTTTCTCCGCAGGTTGAACAAGACACGTGTCTGTAGAGAGCAGCATGTGTGCATCAGTGTCTTTGGTGGACTGGTCTGGTATCCACAATGCAGGCTGATTATATCCCAGCCTTGGATTAGCATAGCCATGTCAAAGGAACACCAGCCTGACTCATGAGTGTACGTATGAAAAGGTTGTAGCGTGGGGTGAGAGGGGGGTCGGGGGGGGTCAGAAACAGGCAGAATGGGGTTTTTGTGTCTAATGTTGGCGTTTCCACAAAAGACCCTCTATGATATAAGATATGCGTGAATGAAGAATGGATAAAGGTCAATGTCATTAACTGCAGGTCAATGCATAGGAACAACACTGACTAGCACAGTGGAGTCTAACCGTGTTTGGAATCACCATATTTATACGTTTTGGCTTCTTATTCACAATAACAATTTGTACAATGTAGATTTAAATACTGCAGATTAGACAATGAAAGGTGTTGCAGACGTTTCATTCAACGTTCAATTACTCTGGTTACTACGGAGAGGAAGTCGTGCCAGATTGAGATGCAGTCACTACAGTGGAAGAACATCAAACGCAATGCACTCATGACATTACTGTCCCATAGTGAGACGCAAAACCAGCCAAAAACCCTTTATTACACTGATTTAACATCACTTTATCTCTTTAGTGAAAAACAGTACATGGAGATTTGAATTAAAAAAAGAAATGCTAAATTTGTGTCAGAACTGAACACAATTCTCTTTAAAATGTAATAAAGGCACAGCTAATCTGCTTTCAGCTGTGCCCTTAAAACAACATTAAATCAGTGTAATGGATCTACTGGATTTACTTTTCATTTACCTTCATGTTTTTGTTTAAATGTAGTCTCATGTCCACTGCAGTTCACAGTTTTGGTTGCATTTCAGTGAAGCAAACACATTCGAAATGCAATCAAGAAGTAAAAACAGTGTAGTGGGGGTTTTGCTTTTCATTCTGGCTCGTATTCTGCATGTCACCTGCGGAAAAGTGAGGTCATGTGTGCATTTCACTGTATTCACTGTTCTGACTGCATTTCAGTGAGGCAAATCTGTTTAACCCTCCTGTATTGCTGCAGGTCAAAATGTCCTGTTTCAAAGTTTAAATATACAGGAAAATATTTTTAATATTTTTTGGAGCATGAAATCTTTTCTGCTGTGTGAGTTTGGTGTGGAAGGACTTGACTGGCCCTCACAGAGCCCTGACCTCAACCCCATCCAACACCTTTGGGATGAACTAGAACAGAGATTGTGAGCCAGACCTTCTCGTCCAACATCAGTGTCTGACCTCACAAATGCTCTTCTGGATGAATGGATACAAATTCCCACAGACTCTCTCCAACATCTTGTTGAAGCTTCCCAGAAGAGTGGAAGCTGTTAGAGCTGCAAAGGGGGACCAGCTCCATATTAATGCCTATGGGTTTAGAATGTGATTCATAAGCTCCTGTAGGTGTGATGTGTAGGTGTCCCAATACTTTGTATTATAGTATATAGTATATTTTGTGTGCACAGCCTCTTGTGAATTTTGATTTTATCTTGACCGTGAGAAAGTACAAAACATGCTGATCTACAAGCGACCCACCGCTGTACACTGAGGATCTGAGATTATCTGTGCTGTAAAGTTTGTGCTGATATTGTCTGTCGAGCAAAACAACCATCACAAGGTCAGCCAGCAGACAGAAACACAGAGAGAAACCAAACGCAACCTTTTATTTAGCATCTAAACTCAATTCACTTTAATCAGAGTCTCATTTTAAAGGTGCGCTGTGTTTGTGTGCTGGTGGTGGAGCTGTGGTGGGGTGGGGGTTACCATGCCGACACTACCTCTAAATTCAAAGAGAGGAGAGAGAGAGAGAGAGAGAGAGAGAGAGAGAGAGAGAGAGATGTATAGCAGAATGAGGAAAAATCAGACCTGGCGCCAGCATGTAATGAGGAACAATCAGCAGAACTGTTTGGCAGAAAGTGAGAGAGAGAGGGAGAGAGAGGGAGAGAGAGAGAGACAGAGAGAGTGAGAGAGAGAGAGAGAGGGAGAGAGAGAGAGAGAGAGAGAGAGAGAGAGAGAAAGAGAGAGACGGGGAGAGAGAGAGAGAGAGAAAGAGAGAGACAGAGATAAAGTGAGAGAGAGAGAGAGAGAGAGAGAGAGAGATAGAGTGAGAGAGAGAGTGAGAGAGAGAGACTAAGGGAGAGAGAGCGAGAGAGAAAGAGAGAGAGGGAGAGAGAGAGAGAGATAGAGACTGAGAGTGAGGGAGAGAGATAGAAAGAGAGTGAGGGAGAGAGAGAGAGAGATAGAGACTGAGAGTGAGGGAAAGAGAGAGATAGAGACTGAGAGTGAGAGAGAGAGGGAGAGAGAGAGAGAGACTGAGAGTGAGGGAGAGAGAGAGATAGAGACTGAGAGTGAGAGAGAGAGAGATAGAGAGAGAGATGCTCTTATCTGTATTGTATAAAAGAGGAACTCAACCTTTGAACTGCTCTGATCTTTAACTGAACAGAGATCAGAGATTTGACTATGAGGGAACATCCACTGCAGCTCCTACACTCTTCTTTACTCACAGAACCATTTTGTTCCTTAAATGGTTCTTTGCATGGTGAAATGGTTCTTCAGCCTGACGGAGAATGTGTTGTATATGGTTTTATAAAGCACTAAAATGGGTTCTTCTATTGCTACAAGCTTGACATCGTACAATAACACGCTTAAAAAAAGATGGTTCTTTAAGGGTTCTTTATTAAATAAAATGGTCCTATATAGAACCATGAACACTAAGAATGTTTTGCATGATTAAAGGGTTCTTTTCATCATTAAATGTTTCTTCCGATCAATTCAGAATGTGCTACAGAGGTTTCTCTATTGAACCTTTTGAAATGGGTTCTATCTAGCTCCAAAAAGGGCTCTGCTATCATTACAAGCTTGACACTGTAGCAATAGAAGAACCCTTTTTGGTACTACATATTTTCAAGAGGTTCTCATACATAACATATTCTGCATAAATATGAAGAACACTTACATGATGAAAGGAACCTTTTAATCATGCAAAAGTGTTCATGGTTCTATATAGAACCATTTTCTTTTCTAAAGAAACTTCAAAGAACCATTTTTTAAGAGCGTAAACAACAGCAGAACGCTTTTTGGTGCGATATAGAACCATTTTCAAAAAGGTTCTATATAGAACTCATGGTTCATTCCCTTTACTAAAGAACCTTTGAGGAACCGTCTTTTCTAAGAGTGTAAAGCAGATGTGTGATATAGCTCTAGTACCTAAAACACATCAGTGAAGCTGAAAGAAAAGTTCTCGAGGTTCCTCCTGACTGGAGAGGAAATGTGGCTCTAACTCAACTCTGGGACTTTTCCATGGCTTGTAAAGTTACAGTCACCATTGCCCCCTGCAGGACACGGGAAACCTGTCCTCAGACTGACTGAGAGAACATACAGTAACCCTGCATCGCTAGAACCGTAAAACGCTCAGTACACCTGAGCTTTACACTGTATAAAAGTGGCTGATGTTTATTAGCTGTTATTACTAGATGATCATATCCAGCTTCTTCAGTATCTTTCATTCGAGTTTATTTGAGATTTACACTTTTTTTTTCTTCATTTCATCGTATGACGCCAGGGCGGACCACCTTGGCAGGGGGGACCACCACAGTCACCACAGCGGTGATGTTTTTACTTACCTTACTCTGTAAAGTTTTTCATAAATATTTCCTTTTTCAAACACCTGCTTCTTTTTTCGGTACTGAGTCGTGCTTATTAACAGAGATACACTCTTTAAAAAGACGGTTCTTCAAAGGTTCTTTAGTGAAGGCAACGGTTCTATATAGAACCATGAACAATTAAAGAACCACTTGCGTGCTAAACAGTTCTTGCATGGTAAAACTATTCTTTGGGTTGATGGAGAATGTGTTGTAGAAGGTCCTACACAGAACCTTTTTTGAAAATGGTTCTATGTAGCACTAAAGAGTTTTGCAATTTCAAGCTTCTAACAGTAAAAGAACCCTTTTTGGTGATTTTTAGAACCACTAAGTACTGAGGAAGTTCTGAAGATGGTCCTACATAGAACCTTTTTGAAAATGGTTCTATGTAGCACTAAAAAGGGTTCTGCTATTGTTACAATGTGGTGCAATATAGAACCATATACAGCACATTCTCCATCAATCTAAAGAACGATTTTGCTATTCAAAAAACCATTTAAGCATGCAAAGGGCTCTTGAGTACTGAGGAAGTTCTGAAGATGGTCCTACATAGAACCTTTTTTGAAAATGGTTCTATGTAGCGCTAAAAAGGGTTTTGCAATTCCAAGCTTCTAACAATAAGAGAACGCTTCTTGGTGATATATAGAACCATATACAGCACATTCTCCATCAATCTGAAGAACAATTTCACCATACAAAGAACCATTTAAGCATGCAAAGGGCTCTTTGAGCATTGAGAATGTGTTGTAGATTGTCCTACATAGAACCTTTTTGAAAATGGTTCTATGTAGCACTAAAAAGGGTTCTGCTATTGTTACGATGTGGTGCTATTTAGAACCATATACAACACGTCCTCCATCAATCTGAAGAACAACTTCACCATGCAAAGGACCATTTAAGCATGAAATTTTCTATACAGAACCCATGATTCTAAATAGAACCACCGCCTTTACTAAAGAACTCTTGAAGAACCATCTTTTGATATGATCAACATGTTTCTATTATTCTGGCCACATATTCTTTACCATTGACTTGGTGGCCCAAATGGCCAGAGCAACATTTTAGATCTGCCTCTGAAGAAAAAGAAAAAATATCTAGAATTCAATGAAATAATCAAACTTCAAAAGTGATCTGGAACCAAAATTGAGGTCAGATCCTCAACCTCATGAGGAGAAACCTGGTGAAGATGTACTAACCTGAGAGGGAGACGTGGCGTGGCCAGCCGAGGCAGTCCAGGCCGGTGGGGGTGCTCTGGGAGAAGAAGTGATCTCTGAGAGACGTGGAGGAGAGCTGCTCTGGAGACGTGAGGGAAAGTCTCATTCGGGCCTGAGGAGGAAAAGCAGCATCCAGGAGCTTTTATTTTGTTTTCTAAATTAGGTTTAACCCTTAAAGGGGAATTCCACCATTTGTTCCAAAATTCCTGCATAATTCAGTGTGTGAGATGTAAACAGAGTGATTCAGAGTGGCTTGGTGTGAAATGGTTCAGATGTCTTTACAGTGGTGGTGATAGGAACCAGGGGTTGCCATGACTACAACACAAATATAGACATTTTATTTACTATCCAGAACCACCAGTGAACCTACACGAGTCTTCTGAGTTTATATGGAATGTTGATGATGGAAAATAGTGGAAAATCTGAAATAATAAGTTTTCTTTGGGGACTATTTTGCCTCACAGCGCCCTGCATGTCTCCCTCCACCATGAATGGAGTTTAAGTTCTCTAAACTATCATAAAACAGTGTCTCAGTCATCAGGCAGTGAATTCATAACCATTTCATGTAGGAACTTTCTGTGAGGGAGCTTTTAGAGGTGGACGTCTGGTTCCTATCACCACCACTGTGAACAGTTCTGACTCTGTAAGTTTCTCTAGAACAGAGCGTTTCACACCAAACCACTCTGAACGACTCTGTTTACATCTTAACCATTTAATTATGTAGAATTTTTGAAAAATTGGTGGAGTTCCCCTTTAAATGCATCCCTCAGGTTATGGCAAATCATTTCTTACTCTTACCTTGTCCACTTTGTTCGGACAATTGACAGATTATGCTGTATTTTGTTATTTTATAGTTCATAACAGTTTCACACTATCAGTTTTCACTAGACAGTAAGTGATGCTAACGAGCCAAGGTATTTACAAACATGGAGAAAGATTAATGCGTAATTCGTCGCTGTTTGAATGAAACCTCATATTTCCAAAAACGTAACTTTACAGGAGAAGGAAAAGGGATTTAATTCTAAATAATTTGGGATTATCACTGTTGGTTCATTCACTATGAGATGTTGAGGCAACGCAAAGGGCAGCTGGCATTCTCAATTACGTTAATTAATAATTAGTGCTAATCAACGACTCTGTCAGCTGAAGGAGACGCTCAAGACATTTGAACGTTTTTACTTCTTACTTTGCCACAAACAGAAAATGGACACTTTTAAGATCACATTTGACCGACAGCCGATTTGGTCAGACTCTGAAGATGAGACGACACTAAATTCCCAAACTGTCATCACCACTGAGCAGCTTTTCAGTCGGCAGCTGAGACAGAAGAACAGCTGAACAACCTGGAATCAGCCAGAAATGAACCCAATACCATTCGCCAAACTAAATGGGCTGTAAGATGCTTTACAGACTGGCTGGAACAAAACAACATTAATACTGATCTGGCAAAAACTGACAAAACTGAGCTGAACTTGATATTGTGGCAGTTTTATGGCTCAGTCTGATTTGGTCAGACTCTGAAGATTAGACTGCACGTTTGGTGAATGGTATTGGGTTCATTTCTGGCTGATTCCAGGTTGTTTAGCTGTTCTTCTGTCACAGCTGCCGACTGAAAAGCTGCTCGGTGGTGATGACAGTTTGGGAATTTAGTGTGAGGAGCTGGAGAACGAACTGCCGGCTGTGCAGCGAGTGGGCGGAGCTCGTTACTCTGACGCAGCAACAAGCTGCTCGTTAAGGAACTATAATTTGGTGAAGGAACTGCGAACATTAAAACATATTAAACGCCGCGTTCACGGCCCAGTTTATTAATTTATTACTTTATTTATTTAACTGTTGTATAAAAGCAGTAGAACACTCGAGGAGTGTGTTATCGCCAATATCATCACAGCTGTGATGATCTACGGCGACCAAATCACAGCTGTGATGTTATTTCGCCATAACACACTCCCTCTCTTGTTCTACTGCTGATGAAAAACGGAGGCACAAGATTTTGTTCCAACAGCGACGATATAAGTGTTAACAGAGAAGCGTGAAGTGTAAGTTAGTGCACAGTTTTCTGAGCAGCTAAAATGTGATGATTAGTTGTAATTTTGGTCAAGAAAACATCTCTCAGCTGCAAACAAGCTCAAACAGGGGTGAAAATCCAGGAAACCCAGCACCACCAACAAAGCTAAAGAGCATGCATGTCCAAAAGCGCTAGGCAAGAGAAGAAGAGTGGGGCAGGACAAAGAAGAGGAGCGCGGTACGTTTTCCGTTCCCTCGCAGGAGAGTTCCTTACTTTCTCATGCTCCTCAGAACGTGAAGCGCTAAGCTGGCTGAGACTCCTCTGCACAGTCAGTTTCATCCTCTGGGTCTTCTTGCTCTTCCTGAGGTCGGAGAGCAGCTCGTCTGAGCAGGAGCGCTGCTGTGTTTTGGTGCCCTCTCTCTTATTCGGAGGGTCTGCGACCACTTCTCCAATGTCTCTCAGATGTGAAGTCCAGCCGCAAATGTCTGAGACGGGCCTCGGAGCTCGCCGTTCTCGACGCCTCATTCGTAGCACGCCGGAGGTCCCCTGTAGCCTCCTATCGGCCTGCTGGACTCCTGCTCTACTGCCGTCCCGCACATGCTTTTGAGTGCAAATTCAAGGTGTTACTGCATTGACTGATGGGTTACGATGAAAGATGTGAGGAGTGTGAGCATCTTTTTCATGCATGAGTTTCAGTTACTGGTTTGCTTTGTCAGAAATCATTAACATGCCACATCATGTCACAGCAGAATAATAAACGTTCCCTTACAACACTGAAACTAAAAGCCACAAGCATAGTAGCACAAATACCCCAACACTGCTAAGGACACGAGTTTATTAGCTATAGTGGATAATCGAAATAGTCCACATAATTTCTGTTTTTTGTTGGTTCAGAGACAAATATATTCTCATACTACAAAAGCACCAATAGGCATTGTGGGACCATACCGATATCAGATGTCCATATCTGCTAATGCCAATGCATAAACATTTCTACACTGTTATTAATCCTCCTGGATAAGCATTACAGAGAACTAGACTTACTTGTAAAATGTTATAAAAGCAGCAAAATGAATAAAATGCTAAGATTTTAGTGCAGAGTCTACTAAACATTCTGTTCTTGATTAAGGATGGGCGATATGGCAAGAAAAATATATCACGATACACAATATGCATCACAATATTTAGTTTTTCTGAGATTAAATTTTGGAACAGCTGCAACAGAACCTACAATCATGGACTGTAGTCCATCTGTTTCTCTGATACTTTGTTAGCCCCCTTTTACCCTGTTCTTCAGTGGTCAGGACCCCCATGGACCCTCACAGAGCAGGTACTATTTGGGTGGTGGGTCATTCTCAGCACTGCAGTAACACTGACGTGGTGGTGGTGTGTTAGTGTGTGTTGCGCTGGTCTGAGTGGATCAGACACAGCAGTGCTGCTGGAGTTTTTAAACACCTCAGTGACACTGCTGGACTGAGAATAGTCCACTAACCAAAAATATCCAGCCAACAGCGCTGAGAATGATCCACCACCTAAATAGTACCTGCTCTGTGGGGGTCCATGGGGGTCCTGACCATTGAAGAACAGGGTAAAAGGGGGCTAACAAAGTATCAGAGAAACAGATGGACTACAGTCTGTAACTGTAGAACTACAAAGTGCACCTATATAGTAAGTGGAGCTGATAAAATGGACAATGAGCGTAGAAATGAGGTGAAAGGACATAATGATGGTCATAATGTTATGCCTGATCGGTGTACATAAATACAATAATAATAATAATAAAAATAAAATATCTACAACTACAATGGTTTTCATTCAATGTTTTACAAACTACACTGCGTTAAATCCAATTAAACAGGCCTAGTTATGCTCACTTTGTAATGAAACATGTCAGTCAATGTTCTTTAAGTACTGATGGTATCCACAATATATTGAAAACTGCATATGGTGACATAATTTATCACAATAGTGGTAAAATATCATCATATTGGCCACCGCTACTCTTGATCAACAAATATCGGTTTGAAATATTGGTGAACTCTAAATATCTGTCCAATGTCATTATTTTTTAAGCAAAATGAACCAATACTAATATGATTCTGATATCACTGTGCATCCCTAACTCATAAAGCCTTTTAAAAAGAAAGTAGTGCATTGAGATGCCCTTCTCTCAAAGTAAACAAAGGACTAAACGTTTTTTTTTATTTAAATTCTGCAAATAGTAATAGTAATACAAAGGAAAATAAGTAGACATATGTAGAGGCAACTCTGTATCACTCGATATTCAATGTAACAAGTAAACAATTCACTTTTACTCACCTCTGATTCGTTGCCGGAGTTGGTGGAAACCAGGCTGGTCTGGGACTGGCTATCTGAACTGCTGTCCTCAAGTAAGTACTCGGAGTCAAAGGAGTGGGCCGATGCTAGTTGTGGGGCTCTAGGTCTGAAAGAGTTTGTCATCTGAGGACGATCTGAGAGGCCCTCCATACTCTGGCCCTGACCCAGAGAGCAGAGAGAAGAGGCTACGGACCTTGAAGGATAACGGAAGCTCCTCCGGTGGGTCCACATTCCAGGACTTTGAGGTTTAGGACTCATTGGCCTCATCGGTGTATCAAGGCTTTCAAAGGAACCTAGAGATCTGGCCCAGGATGGAGACAGCTGGTTGGCAAGAGCAAAAACAGTGGGGTGAAGGGGAGTATGAAAGCTATCCTCGTCTTCTTCAGCCTCAAAAGCATCTACTGAGGCTTGATCAGAGTCCGGAGAGAGTCCATTTAGCATCAAGCTGTCATCAGATTCCATCTCAGGTTCAGTCCCTGCAGCATCCGGGGGTGATGGAGTCTTTTTGCTAAGTGGATCCGAGTGCCATGTGCTTTTCAAATTCTTCTCCAGTGATTCCTGGAGATCCAGTCCATTCTGAGCGATAAAGTCACCTTGGATATGACTTAACTTACTAACCGACGCAGGAACAGAATATGTTCTCTTTAGTATATCTGTCTCTTTAGGCTTCATCTTCTTCCAGGTCTTTTTATCTTCGTTTTGGTTCTCCTTCTCACCAGATCGGCTCTCAAACAAGCTTGCAAAAGACTTGTGAGCCATGGCTAGCTTCAGGCGCAAGTTATCGCTGCTCTTGCTCCTCTTCTGGCTAAACCCATCCATCATGGGAGAGGACTTGAAGTGCAGAAGGTCCCCGTACCTGTTGTGCTGCCCTGCTTGCTTGGCACTGGACATGGATTTGGACTGTCCACACTTCTCCATGTTTTCCCAGGTCAAAGCAAAGGCTTTCTCAAAGATATCGTCATTGGTGTGATCAAAATACCTCAAGTGTTCCGTACTATGACACATATGGGCTCTGTGAAGGGAGGGGTGGGCTCGGTTACGTTTGGGGGAACTGTTACACTTTACCTCCTTCCTCTCCTCCTCATCCTCTGGAGACACCTTGGCCTCGGGCTCAACCTTGTTGCCACCTTTAGGGTCTCTCTTGGCTTTGCGGAAAGAGGGTATCCTCTTTAACATGGAGAACCTTGAGCCTTTCCCTCCTGAGCTGCTCTTGGTTTCCTTGTTCTTCGTTGGAACCTGGCCACAGCAGTTTTGTACCACGTACGACTGAGTGCTATCTTCTACTTCACTGATCTCGCTGACGAAGTCCTGATCTGGAGACACAGAGTTGGAAATATTCCCATTTGCTAGAGGGGTGATGTGGATTCCATCTTCCAGTCTGTCAGTAACAAAACAAACTCTTTTGACAGACGAAACACCATTTTCGTCCTTGTGGGTGGCAAACCCATTGTGCAACAAGCGGTGGGCAGGATCTGTAGTTAAGCTGCGGTCCTCCTCAGGTCCAGATGATGCAATATCCTGTTTTACTTCCAGATTGTTTTCTTTCTGCATTACAAATGAGCTCTCCTGAGTGTGATCGGTCTCCATAATGGGCTCCAAATTAGTGACTGACAGCATTCCGACACTGACGTCTGTAAACGGGTAAATCTCTATCTTACCGCTCTGTGGCTGCAGGGATTCTGGACAGACAGCAGAATTACTACTTTGGGCAGATTCGTCAGAGAAATCTGTATCTGGACTTTCTAATGCTCTAACATTGGTGACCTTGAGCGCACAATTCACAGGCAAGATGCCTTCCTCTCTGAGAATCTCTGGATATTCAGGTCTGTTAATAGAAACGTCACATGGACATTCTGAGACTTTAGACTCGCCAAAAATCGGCGCATGTTGACTGTGCTGGCCATCTGTGTGGGGGGAGACAGAAGGAGACAGCACCGCAGAACTGCCCTGGCTCGTGACGTCTACGTCCTTGAGCTGAAAAACTCCCGCTGTCTGATCTCCCTCTACTGCGGAGAAGTGCAGCTGGCACTCCTTCCCAACAAGGTAATCACTGATATGCTCCTGAGCAGAGTCCCCAGACCCGGAGCTGTTACCGGCCTCTAAATTAAGAGTGCTAACAATATCATTTTCGTTGTCTGTCAGCGTGACAGATTCAGAAGTCTTGAGGAAGCTGCTGGGCGTATTTGCTAAAATTGTGAAGGCATCATTATCCTCACAGTAACCGTCTTTCTCTGAGAACGAATGGTCATATCTTTTGTGTTCCTGTTCAAGCACAGTGTCAAGTAAAGTGCGTAGTGTCTCGGGGGCAGACGTAATAGTATTTATGTTATTGTTTGTGCCATCATTAATGTCACTGTCCTCACAGTAAGAGTAAGAATATGGCTGATCACAGCCAAACTTATTTTGCTCGTGCTCTAGTGCTGTATTGGGTAAACTGAGTGGTGTTTCTGGGGGAATAGGTGCAATAATCTTTATGTTCTTGTTTGTACCATCATTAACGTCACCGTCCACACAATAGCTGTCTACCTCTGAGAACGATTGGCCACGATTACACTCAAATTGACTGGGCTCCTGCTCTAAAGCAGTTTTGAGTACAGTGCATGGTGTCTCAGAGGTAACAGTCTTTATGTTATTGTTAGTGTCTGAACCATAATCCCTGCTTTTTCTGGGAGTTGCACCACAATATAATGATGTTACAGCACAATCCAAGTCAAACTGTGCTTGCATACAAGAATCATCATTTGCAGTGCAAACTGCTTGGGCCCTTTCATGTGATTTAGTCAAGTCTTCTTCCACAAACTGTTTGGCTGACAAATTGCTTGGACACTGTTTTGGATACACCGGTATCTTTTTGACCACTTCATCCACGTCAGACAGATTAGCTAAATCACAGCTTGTGATCTGTGTACAGTTCGCAGGCAGGTCATCCCTGAATTCAAAGCAGACGTCCGTCGGACTGACTGGAGCCGTTACAGATTCTTGCGAGACAGATTCAAACAGACCTGGAGGTCGATCTACTCTGCTGTCGACTGCACAACCAAAGCTAACACTTTCTACCTCTTTAGACAGCATCACATGAGAGTCACCGTAGTCTGAGTTGTCCGAATAAATGACCTCCTGCTCTTTCTGTGGAATGATGGTAAATTCCTTCACAGAGCATGTTTTAGGATGTGGAGTGGCGTCACTTGACATTTTTGAAATGTCACTGCCTGCAGGAGTCCTCAGAATGGGGCTGAGTGAGTTCCGTTCTTCAGTATCAGTGCTTTTAAACGTAATCGAGTTTGGACCTACTATGACTTTCTCTTCCCTGTGACTTTGTGCTTTATTGCTAAAGTTTTGTTCACTAACCTTCAAATTGGGTTCAGTACAATCTAGAGCACCATCTTGCAGATGGCTGTGAGTGCAATGAACATCTAAAACAGCATCCTTTTCAGACAGAATCTCACTATGGTCAGTGCAGTGTGTGTCTATTTTGTCCAAAATGTGTTCACTGACTGGCAAATGTGACAAAACACAATTGTCAGAGTACAGGCTTGAGGGACCGCCCTCTATTGAACAGTGATCACTGTCTGGAGCTTCTGAGAATCTCTCCTCGTTATAATTTAGACCATCACCATCGCAACCCCTGCAAAACTGTTCATTATCCTTTTGGAAAGGTGGTGGATCCTCAGGACGGAAGGTGGAGCTGTCAGACGAACGTAGAAGGTTATAATCCTTGCAAGGTTGATCACTGACCTGTTGTAAGTGTCCGTGTTCAGAAGTGTCCTCACTTACTGAATGAGGAAAGCAGGAGTCAACATTTTCCTCCTGATTGCATTCAGACTTGGCAAAAAGTTTACTATCTACTACTGAGATCTCCACACCAGCTTCCTCAAACTGTTCCAGATATTCCACCACGTGTGTATCTGTCACATCAAGCTGTGGCTCTTGTAAACAGGTTTCCGAATCAGGGTGATTCAGCTCACGCTGCTGGAGCGACTCAGGTTTCTCTGAACAGGTCACCTCCTTTGATGACTCCGAAATCAACTCTGTTTCAGTGTCACTTTCATTATCACTTACATATTGTGATTCTTTCTCATTTCTCTTTATACCAGCCAATTCAAAACCGTTACCCGACAGGAGCTCTGCTTCATTTTCATCAGTCAGTGTCTTTGGAAGTGGGCTTTTAGAAACAGGCTCTGTGAAAAGCTGAGAGTCATTTGATGCAAAACAGACCGTCGCTGGGTCGGCCACGCTCGCCTCTGCGTCAGGAGGAAGTCCAGCTTCCCCGAATGAGTCAGTAAGAGAACAATCTGCAGCTTCATCACGCCCTGGAACATCTAAAGTCATCCCACCGCACTCGCTTGCCAATGGCACAGTGTCCGATTTTTCAGTGACACGTGGCTCCGGCCTGGGATGCTTTCCATTTGTTTCCCACTGGAGACCATCAGAGGTCGCAAGGTGCCTTTCTGCGCAAGAAGGAAGCCGCTCTCTGAAGCCAAAGTAGTGCTTGGGAGAGTCCAAATGAGCTCCAGCGACAGAGCCAGCCTCTGAGCTAAGAGGCGTCCGAAAGCAATCATCAACGTCGTGGCTGAAGTCCGAGAAAGTGTCGCTGTAGCACGAACGGGTTTCGAAGTAATCCTCCGTCGTGTCCTGTGATTCCTCCAGTGCTGGTTCAGTCCATTCCCGACGGTCTGTGTTCTCCTCCTGCTGAGACTCACCATCTTCTGAACAGCCAGCTTCAGCAGCAACATCCTCAACAGGTGGGGCCTAAAAGGAGAAAGAGAGGTTTTAATGTTTCGATGTGGAGAAATTCCACAAAATCACATCCGCATAATTATGAGTTATAAGATGAGTTATAAGAGTTAGGCTCTCTCATTGCTAAATTAATAATAAATAATGGAGGTCCAGAGAAGACATGAGGTAGTTATAATTTTCTGGATTGTCATTTTGAGATAACGAGTTAGTTATCTTGTTATCTCAAGATAACAAAACTGTTTTCTTGAAATAACAAGTTTCTCTTCTTGTCATCTCGAGATTACAAACGTTGTTATCTTAAGATATCGAGTTAATTATCTTATGATCTTAAGATAACAAAATTGTTATCTTGAAATAACGAGTTACCTGTATTGTTATCTCAAGATAACAATCCAGACAATTATAGCAGCAGCTCATGGCCTCTCCAGACTTCTGAACTTCACTCTCAAAACACACATTAAAAACCACTGAGTCTCTAACTGGACATATCAGTGTGTTCAGCCGTAGAAAACATATTTTGTGTTACTTTTAACAGAAAATGTGTTGAAATATTTCAATGGAGATAGACAGTCAGAACTTTACTGACCCCGAAGGGAAATTGCAACAACAATACCCAGTTCTGGATAACACATTTTGGGCTACTTGTAACACAGAAAAAGTTAAATCAGAAAACAATATGATACAAAAAGTGTTAAAAAACACAAGTTAGTGTGTTGTTATTTATGTTAAGCTACAAGAAACACTAGAACTGGGCACTTATTTCAGTAACCGCTTTTAAAGACGGCATCAAGGATAATTTTAGTGATACTTGGACATAATTTAAACAGTTTTTGTGTGTCTGCGTATTGTGTGTTTATTGCGTTTTTCCTTTTCTTTCTTGTGGCGTTTGTCAGGCCACCACTGTAAATAGGAATATATTCTTAATGGCTTGCCTGGTTAAATTAAAGGCTGAAAAAAAAATAAAAAAATTCCACAAAATCACATTCAGATAATTATGTAAAGAAAATAGAATCCACAGCAAAATGACAGTAATAAATCTAGACATCAAAGAGTTAGGCTCTCTCACTGCTAAATTTTAAACTCTAAACCCCAAACAGGCCCAAAGTTTTATTACACACTTCTGTAATCTAAGAACAGCTCAGTCAGTTTGCACTGAAGTCCCTTTCGTTACTGAGTAATGAGGCTTTGTGTGTAATAAGCCTGGGATTTTAAGGGGTTAAATCTCTTTTTTAAATCTTTTTTTTCTACGTTTTAATTTGAATTATGTTTGTATTTTCTAATTTGTAAAACACTTTGAATGACTGCAGTGTAAAAAGTGCTATATTAATAAACGTGTCTTATCTTGCCTTCACTCTTAAAACATGCATTATAAAACAACATGCTGTGTCTCTAACTAGACACACGAGTGTGTTCAGCGGGAGACGACACATTTTGTTACTTTTAACACAAAATGTTTTGAAATATTTCAACACCCAGTTCTGGATTATGCATTCTGAGTTACTTCTAAACACAGAAAATGTTAAATCAGAAAACAATATGACACAATAAAAATGTTGTTATTTATGTTAAATTACAAGAAACACTAAAACTGGACACTTATTTCAGGTACCGCTTTTAAGGACTGCATCAAGGATATTTTAGTGATATGTTCCTAATTTAATTTTTTGTGTGCGTATTGTGTGTTTATTGTGATTTTCCTTTTCTTCCCCCGGTCTTTCCATTTTCTTTCTTGCAAGTGTCTCACGGCGCTTGACAGGCTTAACGGCTTGCCTGGTGAACCCCTTATTTATTTCATACTAAGTCTTATTATTCAGTAACTACAGGCACTTCAATGCAAACTATGGAACTATTCTTAGGGTATATAAGTGTGTAATAACACTTTGGGCCCATAGCTTGTTAAGGGGTTAAATTAAAGGCTAAATTAATAAAACTACCATTTATCTGAATGAACATACATTCGCCTTCAAAAGTCTGGAATCTTTTGCCGTATTAACATCTTTTATTATCTGTCTACATTAATAACTTACACAATGTGGATGTAAATATTTTAAACTATTCATCAGGAATTTTTAGATATTTAGCCAACATTTTAAACATTCAACAAGTTTTTAAATGATAATATTTTGTAATTATCCATTTATTTATTTTTTGTCGAGTTATCTGCCTTGAAAAATGCTCTGCGTTTTTGAAATATGAGGAATTCTGGATACTAATTTTATTCAGTCTTCATGATTTATGTTCGTTGTCAGTTTAGAACCACCCCATAGCTTCAGTTCTCCTATCTCGACACATTTAATATGTCATCCTTTTTGATTTATAGCTTCTGAGTTTCCTACTGATCAGCTGGAATCTGTTGTTGTAGATTAGAATAATTTTATATATTTATCTGCTACATTGCTGAAAACAGTGGTTCCAAACTTTTGACTGTGGACTTGAACAGCTCAAACAGTGTTTCACGGAACCTTATGCATCAAATTAAACCAATAAAAACAAATGTTCATTCAGTTCATCTCAGCACGACGACGATGATCATCCACTTACGTCCTAAACCCTGTAACCTCCACACCTGGAGAAAACGAGGCACTCTGGCTTTTATTTTTCTGTTCTGCAGCTAAATTACATAATGGTAAGAGAGGATCTGCTGAAAGCTGGAACATCTGAAATACTAGATGAATCATGCGATGCTGCCGCTGCACCTCCCTCCCAGACATCTTAAACGAGATGAGCATGAATGAACACGAACACACACACAAACACACACTCACACACATACACACGAGTGTGTATTCCTCTCTTTGTGGGGAGTTTCCACGCTTTTCTGTATGAGTGTGTAAAAGCTACAGTGCTCCACCTAATCCAGTCCTGACCTCAACCTCAAACCAATTTGGCTTCTTTCTTGGCCTGCACTTTTAAAAAAGATGGTTCTTTAATAAAGACAGTGGGTTTATATAGAACCCTGAACATGTAAAGAACCATGTGCATGCTTAGATAGTTCTCTGCAAGGAGAAATGGTTGTTTAGTTTGATAAAGAATGTGTTGTATATTTTTCTATTCCCACCAGAAAGGGTTCTTCCATTGCTACAAGCTTGACATTAAAACAATAGAAGAACCCTTTGTGGTGCTATATAGAACCCTTTTCAAAAAGGTTCTACATAGAATCATACACAACACATCCTCAGAGCCATTTCACCATGCAAAGAACCATTTAAGTATGCAAAGTGTTCACTGTCTTTACTAAAGAAGCCTTGAAGAATCCTCAAAGTCTGCAGTTTGGTGGCGTCAACTATGCATTTTAGTATTAGAACATAGTGCATATTATAAAATATATCTTTAAAAACTTTTAAACAGCTTTATGTTGTTTTGGCCTTCGTCCCACCACAAACTGCACTTTGGCCCTCCAAGAGAAAAAGTTAGGCACCCTCGGACAAATGCATTTTTGCTCACATGTCAGTTAGGGCTGGGCGATGAATCAAATTCTATTTTTAATTAGATTTTGGCTTCTAACGATTATGAAAACAATGATCGATAAAACAGTTATTGTGCTGCATTTCTTTATACAATGATGCTCTGATTTTGTCCTGTGTTATAAATCCAACACCCCCCCCTTCATTTCGCCGGTTTTCAGTTGAACTATATAGGGCGATTCAAAAAGATTCATCCGATTTCAAAGCGCCATATTTTTACAGCCATGAGGCGCCTGGGAACCAATCACAATCCAACTGAAAGAGGGGGTCATAGAGTGTCTGACTGTCAGTGGAAGATGGCTCCCTTCAGTCTGAGAGGAGATGAGACCCCTGAGCAGAAAGCGTTCTGCGTTCTCCACTTCAATAAGAGTGAATCCGTCATAACTGTGCTGTGTGATTTTCGTGGGCAGTGAAGCTCCAACAGCTCAGCGTTCGTCGTTGGTTCCACAACACTGGATGATCTCCGAAATCGCACTGAAAGAGCCGTGAGTGCAGCGACACCCGACACGCTCGATCCAGTATGGATGAGTTTGACTATGGCGTTGATGTTGTCTGTACAGCTGGAGGAGGTTCATACTGAGACCTTGTACAATTACATAATAAACTTGTAACACGGCATGTGCTACACTGGGCTCAAGGAGGATGCTGGAGGCAGGGTTCAGTGTCGCAGCAGCCATATCTTTTATTCACACAAAATAAACACAAAGCAAATAAACCAACTCCAAACAACCCAAACTATGCTGGCCACTTTTCAGTGGCTTCAGCCAGCTAGACTTTTCAGTCCTTTATCCTCACAGCTTTACAGCTCTTCAGTCTTTGCTGCTGCTGCGAGTTCCTCTCTCTCGCTCTGTTCCCTCTCAGCTCTTTAAAAGGCGCTCACGCTGCCAGCCAGATCAGCATCAGCTGGCTCTCATTAAGGGCAGTGTGAGCACCTGAGCCGAGAGGGAACGAGAGCTCGCCGCTCCGCCTCCCCTTCACCGCCCCCAGCTTGCAGCTCGGCCGCCTGGGTCGAACGTGAGGTGTAGTAAAGAGGCCTCACTGTGTACCAGGGGACGGGGCTCGGGTGGCGGACCTCGGGTGGCGGACCTCGGGACTCGCTCGTGCCTCTTGTGGCCGGCACTGTCGTCGTCCTCCTCCTCCTGCCGTGTGACTGGCGTCCCTCGGTGGAGCTCAGGCTTTGCGCTCTGCCCCCTCCACACTCACAGCTCTCTCCCCTGCCGTATTCGCCGAGGTCCGTCATCGTCGGGGCCCGGCGGCGGGCGCATGCCACAAAACTTTATGCTCATTTAAACCATTTACAGTTTACTGCATTGTTCTGTAATGATTTACAGGTGAAATAAATAATTTTCAAATCGGACGAATCTTTTTGAATCACCCTGTATTTGAAGCTCGAGGAAATCCACTGTTAAAAGGACACGTTTTAAAAGTTTCCAAAGTCCCCCACCACATCATGTTCACTTTTCCATCAAGTAACAAAAAAAGTGAGAACAACTCCAAAACCAAGTCTTATCAGCGAAGGTCAAGTCCCTGCAGAGTTGTGTACAGTAG